CTCAAATCCTCAAACTCAAAATATACCTTCTTATGTTCTTTCTCTAGCTTGTCTTACCGATCCTTTTGAGTATCGAATCTAACTTCCACTGGTAGCATTCAGCCTCAAGTTTACTCACCCTTTGCTTCAACTCATTCTCAGCTTCAAACTCTTCTATATCTCAAGTTCGGAAGGGACATGGTTGAGATGTTCCTTCATGGTTCGGGTGCCTCACAATCTGGCACTGGAATATTGTCGTTCTTCCTTAGTCTTCACCACTCCAAATAGTCAGGAGTGATCATGTCTTTGGCAGCCTCGACATCCATTCGGAACACTTTCTTCTATGACTCGACTACTTCCTTGAGTCTTTTCTTATAGTTGTCGCCATGGTATACAAATTCTGAACTAGCTAGTCCATACGTCACTAGGAAAACTGACGTGCCCCAAACTGTCGAAGTGCCAGAAGTAAGAATACCCAACTCTTTCCCACAGTCCAAGCAATGTTATGATGTCAGAATCTCCACATCAGAAATAAATGTCAATGTGGTCAACCAAGGGGCTCTCCAGGCAATATCTCGGTCCTGAAGATGTGTGAAGACTTTCATTTATTTTTCCTTTGAGGCGCCTTCATGCCATTTCATGTGATGAATTCACCTAAAGGTGAATAAGTGGTACTGAATTAGCGGTAGGCAACCTCATTAGTCTTCCAAAATGACTGTGAATCTAGACTTGAAGAAGCTGAGCACACCCACTTAACCTTCCTCCGCCAGTTTTTCTATAGTGGTTGGAGAGCGGAAGGTCACGGCTAAGATTGCTGGTGCTGGATTTACTCGCCTTGAGAGCTGTTCAAATAGCTCCACCACAGCTTCATCGATGCACCCCAAAGTCTTCAGGAAGATAATCAAACCGTAAAGACCCAGTGCAAAAAGATCTATAACCTTCCACTCATCAGGGTGATTCTTCATCAGTTACTTGATGTCAGACAAATGAATTCCTTCTCCGGTGCCTCTGCGCTAAGTCCGATTAATTACACATTTCTCGTCTACTCCCGCAATTTTGGCCAACCCATTTTTGAAGGGCTGACTCTTGATATGCTTGATATAGGCTTGTTTCAGTCTGATGTTTTCACAGTGTAGCAGTATAGTATACTCTTCGATAGTGGGCACCATGTCCTCCTGGTTAAAGGTGAAGCAGCTATACGCCGGATTCCAGAATTGAATCAAGGCTCTGATCAAGGGCTCGTCTATCTTGACATGGAGTAGGAATGCGATATCACCATACCGCTGGCTGAACTTTTGTTTTCTGTCACCCTTTAACTGTCCCAAATTCTCCATAGCTCTTGGACGTCGTTTTGCTTCAGGATGACAGAGGCGTAGCTAACCAGTTCTGACAGATAACTTCTCTGAAGACTGTCTCCCTTCTCTTTCTGAGTCTTCTCGGACCATAGTCGTACCTCGACATTTTTATCTCTTGCATTACAACCCCTTTGCCCATTAGTTCAGATTATTTGTTTATAATAAACACCGTTTTAGGGATCAATATCCTATTTTTATGATGCAAATTGCTAAAAAAGACAATCACGAAAACAAAAGGTTAGTAAAAATAATAGTAATAAAAGTAAAAAGGTAAAAGGAAAAAAGTAAACTGCATGGTTATGGTAAATACATCTTAGGGTTTGAAATGAGGTTTCGGGGTAGGCTCTAATTCTCCATAGTCTCCCGGTTTAGGTTCTAAAAAATGGTACCCGAGTTCTCCTTGCTGGTGCCCCCTTGGGCTTGCTAGACCCTTAGTCATAAGGCCATTACAAGCTTGTGTGGACTAAGTTAAACTCGAGAGGAAACATTCTCTTATGCCCATACGAAGAATAATTTCTCACGAGAGCGTCGCTTTCGCCCCACTTAAAACGGGTTCTGAGCTCAGGTTTAGAGCCTTAGGTGGAAAAAACTTTAAGGGTTGAAATCATTGAGAAAATCGTCAGTACAACTATTTATTTGAAAAATAATCAAAAGTAAGTAAAAAGAATCGAAATGTTACCTTAAAATTTAAACTTACCCTTTTCATTAAAAAGACAACTGAAAATTACCTTAGCCTGACTCACTTACATATCCTCAGCGGAGTCGCCAAGCTATCGAAACCATTTTCGGGTGGGCCAGAATTAGGCTTCGACTTGATTAAACGAATTGGAGTAGCCACTGATCATTTATTTTAAAGCAAATGGGTTGATCAGATATCTTATTTCTTACTTGATTTGCGTCTTACCAAAGATGTGTCGGATTCGGGAATCAGTTACAATCAAGGAAGGGTTAGCACCCTTGAACTGCCCTTTCAGTACTACGTAATTTCCAGTTGTCTTAAGTTAAGAAATCGTAATTTAAATGAAAAGGTAAAATAACGATCTAAATTACTTACTTCTTATGGATTTAAAATTGTACCCTTAAAAAAGAAATGTTAGATTTGTAGTGAATTACATAATTGAATTAAGGTAAAAAAACGTAAATATGGAAATAATAAACATGCAAAGAAGAGAGAAAAAAACAAAATAAAATAAAAATGAAACAAAGTGAATAAAATGATAATATAAATAAAAATAAAAACAATAAAATAAGACTAAAACAAAAATAAAAAACAAAGGCCTAAAACAATTGATGAAATTAAATAGAGAAAAATACAGTGAAAAAATATACATATATAAATATTAATGTTAAAATAAATTAAATAAAAATATATGTAAAATAATAGAATATAGTATTTAAATAAAACAAATGAATAAAAATAAATAAATAAATAAATATGTATATATAATAATAATAATAATACTAAATATAGATATATATGCATAATTAAATATTAAGGGAAAATTTTATAATAATAGTAGAGAAATAAAATAATAAAAATAAAATATAATAATTACAAATAAAGGATTAAATTGAAAAAACAATGAATAGAGGGTGAAATTTAAAACAAATCGGGGTAAAGAGTTAAAATTAGGGGTCAAAATGGGAGAATTAAAATAAGGGAGGACCAAAAAGCGATTTACCCTTTAATATACAAAAACATGTGGATCTTCTCGGGTCAGGGTCGACTCGCGGGTTACCAGTCGGTCGATGGGTCCTATAAAACCCAAAATATTTTAAAAGCTTCTCATTTACAACCTTCCAAACGAGAGCCCCAATCATCGTTTCTCGTTTTCTCTCGGCTGTTCTTCATCAAGTAAGAACAGCCACCGTTGTTTTCCAGATTCTGGCCGCCTTTGATCGACGCCGGCTGTCGGTCATCGGCGGCAAAACCAATTTTTTTACCATTCGAAAGCCCTTTTTACCCAAAGTCCAAAAATCTGAACTGTTTTTCAAAACTAGCCTCGTAGGGGTGTAGATATAGAAAATAGATTTCGAACTCTTCCCCTAGAGTTCATCGGCCATTCGAAAAAAGGAAAAAAAAAAAACGACACCACATACAAGCCAAATACAAAAATGTATGAACTTTTCACCTTAGATTTCTCTTCGAAATTTACAAAAAATGCTTCGAATATTTCTTTCAAGTTGCTTGTGATTTTCCTGCCTGTATTTGTGTGTGTAATACTTGTGCTTGTATTTCATATAAAAATTGTGTTACAAATGGTGTTGATTATATAGTATTTATAGTCTAAAAATACTATGTTAGCCTCGACTTTTTAGAGTTTTATTTGAACTCTAACACTTGTTTGTTGGTTGTGGATGAATCATGTGCACCCACGCTGTTGATGGCCGAGAAAATCGACGGTGGACTCGGATTGTTGGGGGTTTGCGCGGCATTGTGGAGATGGGAAACTAGGGTTTCAAAACCCTAGTTTGCATCGAGCAGGGGTTGGATTCGGGTCCTGGATCGGGTTTCACTCCAGTGGGTCTTGGGCTTTAGCAGATTCGGGCAGATGGGTTTGGGGGTGTTGGACGTGTAGCGTTTGTACTTGGGCCCTTGTTGGGTCTTGGACCTGTACATAAAATGAAATGTAAATAAATATATATATTATAACTTATATTATATATATATATATATATATATATTATAATTTAAGCGATCGAAATTAAGTGTCTTTACCATTCTATAACGTTGAAGTTGGTTCATGTATGTAAAAATATATGTTCAAAATTGGGTACCTTGAATTTTCGGGTAATAAAATATCGGTCCGTGACCCGACCCATTACATTCAGGTACTCGTAAAACCTGGGTGTCCGTATTTTGGGTAACAGGTACCCGATTCATAATTTTTTTTAAATTTTTCTTTAAATTATATTATTTTTAAAAAATATTTAGAAAAAAAGTCTAAAATTATAAAATTTAAAGGTCTATAATATATAATTCATGTATAAATTTTAAAAATTCAAATTACATAATTGAAAGAAATTTATTAAAAATTAAAATAAAAAAGATATAATTAAATTTTAAATGTTTCGAAGTTAAAATAAATATTTAAAGAATTAATTTAGAACGTTAATGTGAAATAATTTAAGATATTAAGAATTTAGAATGTTATGGTGATAAAATTTAAGAAATTAGGAATTTTTTAATGTTATAGTGAAATAATTTGAGAATTATAAATAAAAATTTAATAAAAATAAAAATAAAAAATATGTATAATAAACCGAGTATTTGGTTGGCGGGTACCCGTTAAGAAAGATTTCGTGACCTAGGCCCGACCCAAAAACCCAAAAAATTTAGCGGACCGGGTATCCAACCCGAAACTTCAGATATTTTCAAAATAAATATTCATATTTTTTAACCAAGTCAGTTTTTTTAAACACCCCTAATGGTATCCCACAAGTGTGAGTTATAAGTTTTTAATTGTTCTCAATATAATTCACAAGTAGCTTATTTTGAACATTATTTCCTCGTTTATCAATTAGTAATTTTAAACATATAATATATCGTTATAAAAATCCAATTGAGTAAAATATAAAATTATAATTTTATAATTAAAATCTTTGTCCATATAAAGTATATTTAAAAGTTTTCAAAAAAATCTATTTTTTTTCAACAGATGACTCTGTTACCAAATTTGAACATTTATTTTTCTTGTTCATCGAGACAGGTCTCCCTTACATCTTGACCTATTACGAATTGAATTGAGAAGGAAGGTTACTAAGAAGACAATCACATTAATCTTCATCATTTTACTTTGGAAGCAATCCGGCTGCTATTTCCTTTGGCAGTGATGCCACTGCTACTACCTGCAACCCTCACCCGAATTCTAATTTTTTATATATATATTTATAGGGTCGTATCGAATATTTTTGAGTGATTATTTTAAATAAAAATTGGTGTACCAAAGTGCCATCTTCCATTGTTTCACGGCGTTCGTAAACTATGAATTCTCTTCTTCTGAAGAAAGGCTTGAGTTTTGTCCAAACTTAAGACGAATAATGCTCAAGTTATCTTCAACATCTTTTATATATCTGGCTTCTACCATGTCAGGGTCCCATTGCTGTCCACAAAACAAATGTTAGCTCCTTTAAATAGATTTAAAACCTAAAATGGCCTCTGATCTGAACTTGACTAGTTAAAATTCACCTTGGCGGCTTCTATAACATTGGAAACGGTGATGAATTGCTATGGCGACACAGATCTGAGCAGCCGGCGACTACGGAAGATATGAAGAGACCTCTACCTGCGTTTCGATATCTCCACACCGTTGTCACGGCTGAGAATCTTCCATCCGTCGCCGCAGCGACACGAATTCCCTGATGAAGCCGACATTAACAACTCCTGCACACAGCTCTCGCCTGCGAATTGAACGTATCTTCTCAGCGAGTCCTCGCTGATGGACCATGACTGGTTGCAAGCTACAGAACCGGCATCCATTTCCATTGCAAGGCAGCTAACAACACTAGCTAGGCCTCTTTATCTAAATTTCACTAGTAAGAACTAAAGTATATATACCAGAAACTGATTACAAGGGTATGGTGAAGAGAGCAAAACAATTAGTGGAAAAGGGGGAGCTGTGATTATTGAGGCACATACGATGCCAGAAGAAGCTCCATGATTGAAACTGCACATCTCCATCTCTGGTTATAGATAAAAGATAGATTCTTTACTTGCAAAAAAGGAACAAGAAGCAAAGATAGGGAGGTGTGCACATGGATTGTTGGGAGTTTTAGGAAAAACCAACAGAGAATAAAACCATGGAAGCAGTAATTAATTGGAGGGGAGTTTAACTTGCCTGGTTATGTGGATGACAATTGAGTGTATTTAAAACACATCTCTTTGAGCATGAGGTCCCCAGTCACATGCAACTGCGAAGCCCCAAGTTTCAAATCTGGATTTCGACAGAAACATGTGTACGTGAACTTTTGTCCCCAACTGCAGCTAGCTGGGTCCTTCTAAACTTGGCTACATTGATGCATGTTACTCTTCTCGGCAATTGTTGAGGGAAAAACTATGATTATAACAAAGGTCAGTAATTCGTCTTTTGATTTAAATTGAAAATTGTAGACGATAGTTTAATAAACTGAAAAATAACATGATGTATAATGTATACAAAAGATTGAGTTCAGATATTTTCTCTAACTATGATGATTTATATGTTCAACTTTAATATTTAAATAGAGAAATAATGATTATTTATATATTACCCGTTTAAATAAATATAATTGTCGGATAATATATTAATTATGAAAGATCACGTGAATCAATTTGTGGTCATGTCAAGAGATTGCAATGGTTAGAAGTATATTGGACTCTTGAGACTCCAAAAACCTCAATAAACATAGGGTCATTGTATGGAGGTGCAATTCATGAAGAAGGTTTAAGGAGGTATAATTAGGGATGATAACGGGTCGGATTCAATTAGATTTTTGGCTCATCCAAAAATCATCTATCTGCTCTTGATCTGAACTTGATTTAAGAGTATCTCATCTGACATAAAACCTTATTCAAATTTTTAGGTTAAAACCCACAATCCAATTCGTTTCGATCTAAATATATTTATATATAAAATTATTTTTATTAAATAAAGTAAAGATCTAATTTAGAAAAATTAAAAAGTATTATTATGATTATTGCATAATATTATAACTCAACTAAATCAAAGGGAAAATAGAAATCATATGAATCTATTTATTTATTATCAAAGGAAAGCAACTTCGACAAGAATGACGAGAAACTCGAATAAAACTCAATCTCATTCACCATAGCTTTTTCCTTATGAATGTTGATGCCCATTATTGAGATAATATATAAGTAATATGACAGAACAGTACTACGTAACCTAGTTTAACATATTACATTAACTTTATATTATTAGGATAAAGACCGTTACGGTTGAGTGATTGATTTTTTATAAAATGATAATATTAATAATTGTTGAAACAATGATAACAAGGTAACTAGCTTAGTATGTTACATCAACATTATGTTATTGTAAGAAAAACAATTAATGATCGAGCAACTGGTTTTTTATAAAATGATAATGTCAATGATTGTTTCATTATTTTTAAAAAGTTCATGCTGAAACAAGAAATTCATTCGAAATTTAGTGACAATTTTTGTACTTTACCCTTTCATTAATTACTCTATCCTCCTTTTTTTTATAATTATTTTTTGATGATTGAGCGATCGAAATTGCTAAGTAAAAGTAGACAGGAAATTAAAAAGGAATGGGGAGTTCGTCAAATGATGATTTTTCGGTGGTGGTGCTTGCTTCCGATTTGGGTATAGACGCCCGTCCTTTCTTATCCAACCACGACACTGAAATCGAAGACCAAGACCACTGGCACGACTGTCCCCTGGATTTCTCCGATGAAGATTTCTCCGACCTCGATTTCCTCCAGTTCTTCCGCCGTCAGGGCTCCGATAAATCCGGTAACCGCATTATCCGCATCGTCGGAAAGTATTTTCCCGGTAATTTCATCTAACTTATTTTAATATATATTATTTTTCTTCTATAATTTTAGTTAGGGTTTGAACTTATTTAAATGAATTAGGTAAATGCATTAGATTATGGTAAATGGCAAGTGCAACTCATCCACTTAGAAGATAGCTGCTAAATCTTATCCAAAGTGAGATCCTTATCGAATCCTACTTAGAACCATCTTGTTTGTAAATAAATTGAAGAACTCACATATGGGATGAAATTTCATACTCTATTTCTCACTATTTGGGATTCTTGAAATCCACAAAGACAAATTAAATTCTTCCATTTGGTTCTTTTACACAGGCTTGATTACTGCTAACCAAAAACCTTCCGATCATCCAACTCACTCTGTTGTTACACATAGGTGATAAAAGAAACCTTTTCCAAGAATGAAATAGAGTGATTCTTGTTTAGTGTTTCATTTATATAAAACCAAAGGGGGATATCGGGAGTCCATAACCTAATTAGTCAAACAACTAAGTCCTTGTTAATGAATATTGTATTTAACTAAGTAGTTACATTCCAATTAAATTCCTTGTTCAGTTTATTTGATGTGATGCATTAGGTTCTTAAGATAACATGGTTTTGATTAATCATTCAAAGTATAGCATGTCGGTGCAGTTCAACTCCTTTATCAGATATCTTGACTTCTTGAGGAGAAAAAATGGCTCAATGTCTACTTTCTATCTCCTATATTAATCTGTATCTTATTCGATACTCTAATAATCACCCTGGTTAAGGACTTACATTAGTTAATCATATTCTAGGAATGAGTGAGAGATAAGTATTCGAATCACTAAAGGTGATGAATCCTTTTTGGATCACTCGTATAGCTTTAAAAGCGTCAGTTCATATCCAAATTCCCCTGGCCATAAGTATCCTTTCTTGGGCGCTATTCATATGAAATCAATGCATGCCAGTTTCAATACATTATGACCTATTGTCATAAGTCAAATTATTCGAGTAGAACAAAGTTATAGGGTTTCATCAAGTTTAAGTTGTTCCTCTAGTAAACTCCATTTTGGCCTTTCACAAGGTACTTGCTTTAATGTATGCAGCTCCAGTTGTTAGTGGGGAGCGACTGAAGAGATATATATACCACAAGATATGCAGTGAATTGCCTGAAGGTCCGTATTCCATAGTTTATATGCACAGCACAGTGCAGAAGGAGGATAACTCCCCCGGTGCTACTATCTTGAGGTGGATTTATGAAGAACTTCCCTCTGAGATCAAGGATAGGCTGCAAGTCATCTACTTTATTCACCCTGGGCTTCGTTCAAGGCTTGTCTTTGCCACATTGGGCCGGTTTCTTTTAAGTGGGGGGTAAGTTACCATAATTCAAATTAGCAATGTAGCTATCTAATAAGTTATACCTTTAATCAGATGAAAAATCTTTTAATTGTTTCTTGAACTTGATAGCAAAGCTTCTTCAACGCTCTTTCTTTCTATCAGTTGGACTAGTTGTTAAGCAAACTAGTCATATTGTCTAAAATATTTCTTTTCACATTCTTAAAAGAGTCAACACATTTGATGCAAATCCTGTCTTTCTTATCCTAAAACGTAATGAAAGCATGCTCTTAAATAACAATTGATAGATTAGCAGCCTTCTTGGTCATGCTAGAGGTCATCATAGATTTGCGACTATTCCGGCCAAATTTTTTAGTTAACTCCTTTTTTTCCAGTTTATATTGGAAGATCAAGTACATAAGCCGCCTGCAATACCTATGGGATGACATAAAGAAGGGAGAGGTTGAGATCCCTGAATTTGTGCAAAACCATGACAATGTTCTTGAGCACCGGCCCCTAACAGATTATGGCATTGAACCGGATCCTCTCCACTTAACAGAGGTACCTACCACTGCCTACTCATTGGGGAGGTATGAAGAGAGATTAACCTCAAGGGAATTCATGTTATAGTATCGAATTAGACGCAGCTAAACCCACTGAAAGGGTTTTCAGCCTCTTGCCGTTGGGAATTATCTGGTAAAACAAGAATTAAGAACTGTCTTTATATTGCGTTCCTTGCTCACTTAGAAACCGCTACGTTGTACTTGTAATTACTTATTGTGGCACGTTACGGCTGACATTGATGCATGGATGTATTACATTGCAGCTCAAAATATCATGGATTGTTTGCACCCTTTATTTTAGCCGGTTCGTCAATATTTTTGGTTAAATATTGTTGAATTATTGGATTGAAGTGACTTGTTCCATTTTTAATCACTATTTGTCGGCACATCAAATGCAAATCAAAACTTGATGGTAAAAACATTTTACAGGTCCTTGTATTTGTGCAAAACATAATTTGACGATAAAAGTATAACAACTTTGAAAGATTGTTAATTTTATGATGTGGTATTAAATCCTAAATGTAATAGTTTGATATTTTAAAGGTTATAATAGGTTATAAATGTCATATCATATTAATGTTATAATATTTATCAATATTTTCTCGTAACTTATTTTATTGTATCCAAAAAAAGATTGAATTTAGTATCATAAATTCAAAATTCATTCATGTAGATAAAAGTGACATATTAACAAAATTAACCTTAATATTTTCTTTTTGACTCCTATTATTTTTAAAGTATTATAATCTTAATTTTTAATTATTTATTAAAATAATCTCTACTACGGTAAAATTATTAGTTGATTAATGATCTGTGCATATTACTAATAGTGACAAATCTAAAAATTTAAATATCAGATCTAAAATTTTAAGGTAGGTAATTTTTTTTTCAATTAACACATTAAATAAAGGGTAAAATATATAAATAGTCATCTAACTTTAAGGACGCTTACATTTTGATCCTCCAACCTTTGAAACTTGCAATATAGTCATCGAAAATTTCCCCCCTTCGTTAACTCCCCTCCACCTCCTCTTTCTATTTTTGTCCATGTCGTTGCCTCCGTTAGTTTTTTACTGATGTGGCATTTAACACCCATTAACTCCCCTCATCCTCCTCATCCTTCCCAAGCTTAAACCCAAATAAAAAAGAGAATTATCAACAATCCCAAAAGCTTCCCCCGTAAACCTGAAATTCTACTCAAGAATCTAAGCTTCTTAGATTTGTATG